TGCGAGGATCAGAATCCACAACGGTCTCTTCTACACTTTCATATTCTTTAGAAGACACTTTATATGTAATAATTATATCATCCTTGGATTCTATCTCATTGTTATCATCAAAATCTTCTTCAATTATAATATTTTTTTCTCGCCCTATATCAATTAACATTGATTTCAATCTAATATAAAGTAAAACAAAAAATTAATAACACAACAAAATAATCCATTATACTTAAATCACCTTTTGATTTTTTTAAAGCTTAAGTCCCACTTTGTTTCATTCTTTTAAGTAATTATGAAGTAGAAGTTATTACCAGTTCAATAGACATTTTAAAGTTAGTATTGATATATTAATTCTACTCACTATCAAAGGCCATCCCGCATCTTCAATTTCAAACATTTCACTATTTTTTTGTGTTATCCATTCTTCATCATATAGTATATATGATGTAGAAAGGGAGGGGGTAATTAAAAAAAATTAAAGAGCTAAAATTCCATCTCATATATTCCTTAATGGATTTGAATTTGAAATTCAAATACGAAAAAGAGGGAGGGAAGAAAGGAATTAATTATCTCCTTAATTGGGCCTTTAATTAGGAAGAAAATAATTAGGATAGAGGGGAGAGAGAGGAGCGGGCCTAATGAGGAGGGAAAAAAAAGTGTCCACATACAATGTATGTGGATCAATGCATTAATGGGAGATTGGAGAGTTAAATCTGAAATAATTTCATATTTAAGATGATTGAACGATTTCCTAAATTAGATGCATGTTATTTAGGAAATAGTTTAAAATTCAAATTCATTTGAATTTCATTCGAAAACTTTCCAAATAAGATAGGAGCTAATTTAGGAAAGTAATGATGGTGAAATTAAATTGGAATTAAAGGATAAATTAATCAATCAATTTCGGAATTGATTAATTAACTAAATGAAAGAGGTTACCAAAAATAAGGTAATTAATGAGGATGGATTTGAAATTCAAATTAGATTAATTTGAATTTTAAATATTTCCAAATTAATGACACTTAAATAGGGAAAGAGGATTTTTTTTTTTTTTTTGAGTGAAGAGGGGCTAGGGAAGGTGGCCGGCAGTTTTGTGGAAGAGGAGGGGTTTATGGGAGAATCGGCTGGTGCAAAGTGGGGGATTTTGGCTGGCGGTCAAGGGAGGAGGCAAAAAGAATTTAAGGAAAGAAAGATACAATCGTGAGCCCAGACACATCCTGCAGCTGACCGGTACTACGTTGCCCTTCTCCAAGGGACTTCAAGCCACGAGCCTGGACACATCCTGCGGCTGGTGGAAGCTACGAATTCCTCCCATAGGAATCTCACCCAAGGTTCTTCCCAAAAAACACAAGTGCAAATACAAAATTATTCTTAATAATCCATCATTACATTACACAAGCAAGAGCATCTATATATAGGCCTAAGAAACTAAAACAAGATACATATGCCCCTATGGCTTACATAGGACGACCCTCTTAAGTAAGGGTAAAAAGGAAAAATTCATAATAAAAATAAAATTACAAATAACAAATTAAGATAAGGTGGAATGATCTCGGCCGTCGATCATTGTCTCCTCCTTTGAAAATCTTCATAATCGGATGTCCGCATCATTCTCCTGAGGTGGAAAAGAGCTCGACTCCGTCGAGTCCGAACTCCGGGTAACCATGCTCTAAAACCAAACTGATGTAGAACGGGAGGGGGGTAATTAAAAAAAATAAAGAGCTAAAATTTCATCTCATATATTCCTTAATTAATGGATTTGAATTTGAAATTCAAATATGAAAAAGAGGGAGGGAAGAGAGGAATTAATTATCTCCTTAATTGAGGCCTTTAATTAGGAAGAAAATAATTAGGATAGAGGGGAGAGAGAGGGGCCGGCCTAATGAGGAGGGAAAATGAAAGGTGTCCACATACAATGTATGTGGATCAATGCATTAATGGGAGATTGGAAAGTTAAATCTAAAATAATTTCAGATTTAATATGATTGAAGGATTTCCTAAAATAGATGTATGTTATTTAGGAAATAATTTAAAATACAAATTCATTTGAATTTGAATTCGAAAACTTTCCAAATAAGATAGGAGCTAATTTAGGAAAATAATGATGGTGAAATGAAATTGGAACTAAATGATTAATTAATCAATCAATTTCGGAATTGATTAATTAACTAAATGAAAGAGGTTACCAAAAATAAGGTAATTAATGAGGATAGATTTGAAATTCAAATTAGATTAATTTAAATTTAAAATCTAAAGAGAGATTTTTTTTTTAGGGAAGGAGGTGGCCGGCAGTTTTGTGGAAGAGGAGGGGTATATGGGAGAATCAGCCGATGGAAAGTGGGGGATTTTGGCCGACGGTCAAGGGAGGAGAGAAAAGGATTTAGGGAAAGAAGGATACAATCGCGAGCCCGGATACATTCTGCAACTGACGGGTATTATGTTGACCTTCTCCAAGGGACTTCAAGCCACGAGCCTGGACACATCATGCGACTGGTGGAAGCTACGAATTCCTCCCATAGGAATCTCACCCAAGTTTCTTCCCAAAGAACAAAAGTGCAAACACAAAATTATTCTTAATAACACATCATTACATTACACAAGCAAGAGCCTCTATATAGAGGCCTAAGAAACTAAAACAAGACACATATGCCCCTAGGGCTTACATAGGACGACCCTCTTAAGTAAGGGTAAAAAGGAAAAAATCATAATAAAAATAAAATTACAAATAACAAATTAAGATAAGGTGGAATAATCTCGGTCGTCGATCGTCGTCTCCTCCTTTGAAAATCTTCATGATTGGATGTCCGTATCATTCTCCCGGGGTGGAAAAGAGCTCGACTCCGTCGAGTCCGCACCCCAAGTAACCATGCTCTGATACCAAACGGATGTAGAACGAAGGGAGGGTATAAGATTAAAAATCTGAAATTAAATTTCAGATTTCCTCTAATAAACGGATTTAAATTTTGAAATTTAAATAAGATGGATGAAAGGATAAATAGGTGGTTAATTATTCCCCTAATTGAATTCCTTAACAAGGAAGGAAATAATTAAAATAGGGGAGAGAGCGGGGCCAGCCTAATGAGGAGGGAAAAGGAAAGGTGTCCACATACATTGTATGTGGATCCATGCATTAATGGGAGATTGGAAAGTTAAATCTGAAATAATTTCAGATTTAATATGATTGAAGGATTTCCTAAAATAGCTGTATGTTATTTAGGAAAGAATTTAAAATTCAAATTCATTTGAATTTGAATTCGAAAACTTTCCAAATAAGATAAGAGCTAATTTAAGAAAGTAATGATGGTGAAATGAAATTGGAATTAAGGGATTAATTAATCAATCGATTTCGGAATTGATTAAGTACTTGAATGAAAGAGGTTACCAAAAATAAGGTAATTAATGAGGATAGATTTGAAATTCAAATTAGATTAATTTGAATTTAAATTTTCAGGAGAACCTAGTAGGAGAGATGGCTGAAAACCCAAGGTTCACTTACAGTCGTCGTACTCCGGGTGACAGGTTCCACTTGTCTCTTTTGTTGTTTTGATTAGTTTTGATTGTTTTGGGTGGCAAATTCTTGTTGGTTAGATTTTTGTTTTGCCACTTTTGTACATATGTTGTATGAATTGCTAGATCTGTTTATCTGGAGATTAGTGGCGCTTGTTTCCTACGTGTTTGAAGTTCTTAAAATTTTACTTTATGTCACAAGTTTTAGAAGTTATGGCTTATATTACATGTCCGATCTCGTTCCCGCCTCGTATCTACGAGCTAACCGGGCCGGGTCGTGACAGATGCTATTAAATAATAACATTTATCTTTTGTTGATATTTTAATTTAAAAAGGAATATCAAATAATTCAATTGTACATTACTATCCATTAAGTATTATCATATTCAAATTAATTTTAAATTAGCTATAATTATATAAAATAATGCAAAATTGATTATAATTTATTCAAAGTATTTATTATATAAAGAAGAATACAGCTCATTGGTTTGCAACCACGTACAAGGAATATTTTTCTTTAACCTGATATATCGAGCATGCTTCATTTGTCATATTTTGAATCAAACATTTTTGTCTCCTTTAAAAAAAGAAAACAAAATAAAAAATGAACTAAATCAAAAATAAAATGTCAGGTAGCAACTTTCAAAGTGATAAATGAAAGCAACTGGTAGAGATGCAAAACAGAAGATACTAAACGTAGGAGAGAGGGTGGATGGCGAGAAATACCCCACCCCAAAAAATACTGCAGATTCATACTAACGGAAACTTGTGTCAATAATAATCTTGTAAACGCCAAAAATAGAAAAGTTCGAACAAAATATCACACCCTCGCTTGCACTTGCAATCATTTTGGATAATAGTAATTGTACTGTAGAACAATTTAGCATTTTTTTAGAGTGATTCCACTGTAGCATAGTTTCCAGTGATACAAAGGTACTGGTACTATTATGCAAATGAATAAATTAAATCACCACTTCACAAGGCATAAGAGCTCTTTACAACACAAGAAAACATATTGCTCAAATAACAAATAGTAGCGCTATTTTGCCAATTCATAATTGGTTACATAAAACATTTTCATATCTAACTGTTCGAAAAGACATAGTACATTCTTGATGGTAGCCACATGCTTTGGTTACGAGAATTTAGTATGAAAATAATTTCAAAATTGTAACCAGTTTAGCTCTTAAATAATTTGGTTAAAAACACATTAGTCTAATGCGAATGGAGTAATTCAATCTCTTGAAAGTGGAAAAAGAGTATAGGTATAGTTAATCATTTGATCAAAGAGACTACAAAATTTTAAAGAGGAACAAGTTGTAAATGTGTAAGATCTTGATCATGCAACTTATGCATATAAGTGTACTAACATGAGGTGCATACTTATAGAAACAACAATATCCTTGAGCTTACATTGACTAAAAAATATTAACAGCCACAACTAAGAAACGCATATATGCTTGAACTCTCATTTAGGAAAGAAAACAAAAGGCACATACCAAAGCAGAAGCACAAATCAGTGCACCATGTCGAAGCCGTCGAGCATAATAAAGGCTTTGTTTGTGGTTAAAACATTGAGATTCGGCATAGGGAACTGCTATCCTAGACCTTTTAAGTTGCAGCTTCGGACTACAGCAGATTTCAGATTTCCCTGTAACAAATGATAAAAATATATATAAAGTGGGAAGCAGCTAACATCTTGATTGTACGGGCCTAAAAATCAAAATAGAACGCCCCTATCATAGCAAGGCAATACAAAGGAAGAAAAACAGAATAGCAAATTATGACAACGAAAGCAATCATTCCACTTTCTTTGGAAATCAGGGCAATGATAACGATTTAAAGATGTTTTTTTAAAACTTCTTCGAATGACATAGCAAGAGATAAAACTTCATAGTTTTATCTAAATATAAATGAATCTCCACCCAGAAAATCACTGCATTAAGTTGACTACAGCAATGGGTGAAAAATTCTCAAGTCTAATTTATTTCAAAGAGAAATGGATCAAAATGGTCTCTTGACTCTTTATGAAGAATCAAAATGGACCCCAACTATATTAAAGGACTATTTTGATCTCTTAAGTCTTTAAAAAAGAATCAAAATAATCCCATGATCATTTTCCCATATCACAAAACTCAAAGTAGTATCAATTTCTTATGAACAACTCTAGTCAATAGATATATAACCAAATCCTATAGAAAATTAGAAAAACAAACATCATTTTAATTTGCATCATAAAGTTAAACAACAACAACAACAATAACATCAAGCCTTAATCCCACTATGTAGGATCGGCGACATGAATCTTTTTTCTTCGTTGTGTCATGTTAAGAGTCAAATTCTCATTTAAATTTTAATAAAAAAGTTTCTAACCAGATCTTTTTAGATCTACCTCTACCTCTCTTAACATAGATCAAATCCAATACATTTACTCTCCTAACCGGGTCATCGAAAGGCGACGTTTTATATGTCCAAATCATCAGAGCTACTCCAACCTTCTCACGTAGATACTCATTTAACATTTTGTCTCTAATAATGAAGTCACTCATCCACCTGAGCATTCTCATCCCTACAACACTTAACTTATTTTTATGCTTCTATTTTAATGGCCAACATTCTACGCATCATAAATCATTGTAGGTCTTACCACCATCTTGTTTGAGGGGTACTCTTCTATCACACAACAAGCCCGATGCATTCCTCCACTTCAACCATCCAACTTGAATTCTACTAATAATATCCCCACATATTTTACCATCACTTTGAACAATAAACCCTAGATATTTAAAACGAGTACTCTTATCAATGACTAATAAGCACTGCTAATATTCATAAAATGTGCATTTGCAGTGCCACAATTCAGAGAAAAAATGCTAGGGCAATTTCGTGATACTACCAATAATAGATTTTAGGCTTGTCCCCTTCGCTTTCTTCTGCAAAAGTTATGGCACCTATCCTCATTGGACAAATAGCGCTCGCATACAATTTTATTATATCAACAGCAATAAGCATGTGGATGATAGGCTAGAAGTTTACCTGATGAAATGATTTTCTAACACAATTCTGTTGACACAATCATGGTGTTCTGAAGCATCTTTTGAAATAGCCATACAACAAAGAATTACTCATTGCATCTCCAATTAAGGACAAGGGACACAGCACACCAAACTGCTCTAGTCACTGTTTAATTTACAAAAACATGCTTGAATACAGAACTTCACTATATAAAGACATTGAAAAGTCAGGGTCAATATAAATTATCCTGACACAAGGATATAAATTAATATTCCCCCACTAAAACCATAACACAGCTTTTAGTACGAAATATCAAAGTGGAACAACTTTTCTTGAAACAGTTGATAACAACAGCTTTTAAACTTCCCTGTCTAATTTTTAAGAACAATTTCCTTCCCTTAGAATTCTCCTAAGAGTTCAAAAGAGTTGGAATTTTTAATGATTTATATGTCAGGTAACTAAATTGACTATTTGGGTGGAAATTGCATTAATAAAATGGGAATATTGTAGAGGCATTAGAAACAAATATGGATAGACCAAAGAAACATGCTAGAAGTCGCACAAAAAGAATTCGGGAAAATAGAATCAGCAATTAAGCAAAACTTATATAGAAACGAATAAAAAATAATAATTCATAAAACCAGCCCCAAATAATCAGTATAAGGGGCAAATGATGAAGCTGAATCAGCATAGTAATCCAAAACAGGAATATGCGCTTTGAATCATCAGGAGCGATGTCTTCCTAATTTGTTAATTCTAGTAAATTAGCAATTGGCGATGTTATTTTTCATACCAAGAAAGCATGATACTTCTTAAAGAAGATTTTTGCAGTAAAACTAGTAATAAAATACTATACCATTTCAAGTTCATTTGTTAAGCATATCACATTCAGCCACTGGTGGATGGAGGAAGGGGCAAGCAGGGGCACGTGCACCCCCTCAAAAAAATACGGTCTTAATTATATAATTTTATAAGTATTTCTTCGTAAAGGAAGGACAGGCATCATTGTTTTCTTTGTCCCACAAAAATATCCACTCCTTGTGCGTATTTTTTATCTAATTTATTTGATTCATGAATTAGTTACTCAATTCTAAACTAATCAAAAAATAATAAACTTTAACAACAAGATTATTTGATGAGGACATCAGAGATCAGCGGCTATGATCTGGAGCTTATTTGTTTATGTGTTTTATGTACTAGTTTATGTTATATTTCTGCTTTTTTCATTTTACCCCTAGGATTGGTCATGTGGTGTTGTTGCCCGAAGGACAATTTAGTCATTGTTTCTTTTCTCTTCATGAAGCATATTTATAGGCTAGTTCTCTTGTATTTTGGGTGATGAATGACTAATAAAATTCTGAGTTTTCTTTGTCTCCCTCAATGTTGAGTGTTTGAGAGGAGAAGAAAGACCCTAGGTGTGGACAATCGCAATACCCGTCAACCTTTGGAAAGGTCCAAGGTTCGCGGCTCTAATTCTTGTTCCTCTTATTTCCTCTAAGCTTCCCCTCTCCTCCCCACACCACAGGCCTACTCCACCCCCACCGCCCCTCTCACTTTCCCCTAACAACCAACACCATAAACCCGCCGGCCCCTTGGCCATCCACTTCCTCCCACCACCTGTCCCCACCTTGGCTCCACCACCACTCCTCCTACCCAGCCCCATATCACCGGCCATCATCCCTCATCCATCTCATAGCCTCCCATTAATTGTTTTGAATACTTTTCTAATTTAGGAGGACAAAATTTGGAGGGATTTTAAATTCAAATTCAAATATATTTGAATTAATTAATTCCCTAATTTTCCTATCCTAATTAGGTAACTCCTTTAATCCCTTAAATCTAAAATCAATTTCAGATTTCTTTATTAATTTATTTAATTGTTTGGGCCCACAAATCCAAGTAATTAAATCCCTCAAATCCCCCTCCATAGGGCCGGTCACCTCCTCTCTCTCCAATCACATTAATTGGACGCCATTTTAGGCAAGTCTTGAATCTAATCCCAATTTAATTTTAAATTGGGTTGGAATGATCAATCTCATCCCAAACTCCACTTCCCTCCATAACCCCTTCCTTCCTAATTTGGATTATTTTTAATTTAGAAAGAAATTCGAATTCAAATTAATCAAGTTTGAATTTCAAATCTTTCATAATTAATTACACCATATTTAGAAACCTCATTCATTCAATCAATTAATCAATCCTGAAATTAATTTATTAATGGTTCTATAACTCACATACAGTGAACCTAGACACAATTCCCCCTCCTCTCTCTCTTGGCCGGCCCCATGCCTCTCCTCCCCACTTAATTTTCCTTCCAAACTCAGGCCTAAATCAAAGGGAATTAACTCCAGCTCTCCTCCATTGATGTCCACACAGTTTCCCACCCTCCCTTTCATGCTCACGTGCACCCAGTAGGAGGAAACGGCTGAAATTCATCTCCCCAACTAGCTGTCCAGATTTCTGGACAGAGTCTATTTGCTGTCTTGAATTTCTGGACAAATCCTGCACGTTCTCCAAGGATGTCCAAGACTCCTAAGACCCAAAACCTGCTGTCCAGACTTCCTCGGGTACCATCCAGACCTCATGAGTTGTTGTTCAAGACTCCTAGGACTCGAAACCTACTGCTCAGACTTCCTTGGGGTGCTATCCAGAGATCTTGGCTTGCTATTCAGGACATTCCAGCAAAGTGTAGTGCTGTCCAGCCAACCAAAAAAGGGCGGGTTGCTATCTATCAGCAATCAAGAGATCCTTGTTGTCTTCCCATTGGGTAAACTCTCCCTCTCAAATTTCTTATTTTCTTAGTCTACTTCTCGCTTCTGGTTATTTTTGGATTCATAAAGATCATGTTAATTATCCTCCACTAAAACTTAGCAAGCTAGAGAGTTAAGTGAGGGATCCTTGTATTGTGGCTAATCTTATTGTTAATCTAGGGATCTCTTATTGAAAATCATCCATGTATGCAACGTTAGATTAATTGGTTGTTTTACAGTCTTAACTCCTATGCATGTGATTTAGCCTAAGCTTGTTTTATCACTCTTTGTATTTAACTTGTCGTTAAAATCATTATAAAGATATAATTATTGTGGTATCTAAAATTAAGCATGTAAATTCCTTAAGCAATTCATCCATGCAATTATGTTCTACATCATTATTCACATGAATTATGAAGAATATTAGATAATTGTTAGCGAATTTTATAATTTTGATATATATAAATAATATCATGTTGAACTTTATGGCTTTTGTTTATTTATTATTTATAAATTTTATTTATTTAAATTTTGAATAAACTGATATGGTTCATTTGATGTTTTGATTGATTTTTCTTAAATATAAATCGATGCTGCAGGCAAACTAGAAAGAAAGAGTCAATAGAGGAGAACACTAGGACTAGAAGAACAAAACTCGATTCAAACTAGTAAACTGACATCCAAACAAAACACCCAAACAAACCAAAGTCGAACAAACGAAACAAAGTTTAAAAATAAAAACACTATCCTCAAAACAACCGGCAAGCAGTTTCCTCACATGCAACGAAAAGTATGTAAAATAAGATAAGTGCTAAGGGCTTGCAACCAAGGGTCCACCACAGCAACAAGGTCCAACGTCCAACAAAACTCCTCCAGCAAATGTCACCAATTTATGCCTACAAACACCTCCAATAGCTCAAGAAGAATGATAAAAGTGGAGTGGAACTTGCGTAGAGAAGAAGAGATTAGAATCCCAAGACAAAAATAGAGAGGAGGAAGAAAGAATTGGAACGAGCTCTCAAGCTTTTTCAAGAAAGGAGAAGAAACCCTCAGGTTTTGTAGAGATTTTTCTCAAATATTCAACAACCTTTTCATGTCAAAAACATCTCCAATTTATAATAGAAAAGGGGGCAGCCAAACAGCCATTCAACCTCCAACCGAACCAATCAGGTAAGGGGAGATTGAAAGCCACAATTCATTCCAAAACATCACCCGAAAAGGCAACACAAAGAACCGGGTAAAAGCAGCCAGGGGAGAAACCATAGGGGCACAAAGGGGACCGGAACCAACACCCAGCAAGGGAGAAGAACCGGTCACGGGAAACAGCACCAGGAAGAAACCGAGGAGACACAAAGAAGGGGAAAAGGCAAGGAACCACTCCACTTAATGACCTAACAAGAGGAATACCTTTTTATATTAATGAGCTAAACATTAGCTCAAGCATTTATGCGGTAGAACCAAGAAACTTTCAAAGAACATAGCCCAAACCCGAGCAGCCAAGGCCCAACCCGAGAAGCATCAACAGCCCAAAAGACTAAAGAAACCAAGTAGCTAGCACACCCAAGGTTTGTCATGCCCAAGCACTACCTACTCATGATCATTGGATATTTTCCATCATAGGATAGCATAAAAAAACTAAACAAAAATTATAATATTCAAATTACAATAAAAATGAAAGTAAACAGAAATATGCATGCATCAATCAAGCTAACAATAAAAAAAAATAAAAAAGTAAAATTATATCATTATTTATATTTGAAAATTCAAATCAAATTAACCAAATAAGAACAATTTGATTCAATTCTTTAATTTTATCCAAATAATACACACCTATTCTCATATTCTTTCGAGCTTAAAACAAAGAGATGAGGCATACGTATTATTAGAATCATTACAGGCTTTTGAATTTTTTTACTACATTTAATGAAAGATATACTTTGTATTACTATTGAACAATTCAACTGATTTTACTCCATTTAATCAAGCGATTCTTGAAAATCAGTTAAACACTTATATTATGAATATGCGATTTGATGAACAATTTTTTTCATTAAAAGATATAGGAAGTCTTTGTGAGAAAATGATCCAAAGTAAAAAAGGATATTTTATATCGTCTTGAGTATTGAAATTAACATTAGTATTATATGTTGCAACAGCAGAAGTTGAAAGGGCAATTTCTGTCATGAATATTATAAAAAAATTGTTGTGAAATAGGATTGAAATCAATGGTTGAATGATATATAAATTGTTTATATTGAGAAAGAAATATTAGATTGTATTGATAATGAAGTAATCATTCAACTCTTTCAAAATATGAATAGCAAACGTTATAAATTGTATGTATTTTATTATAATACATTTAATATTTTCTCTATTTAAATAATAAATTTAAAAAAAAATTGCCTATGTCAGTCCCAAACCTGAATGAAAAAAGTTGAGGAAAATTAGTCAAGATAAATTTAGGCCCCGCTAAAAAAAATTTTTGGCTCCGCCTGTACATTCAACTTTCTATAGCTGAATATTTGCAAATTCATGCTAAGTAATCTACCTAACTTTCAAAGTTGTAAGTATATTAGTTTCATCAACAACTGGGGACTGCTCTTTTTTACTCATTTTCAGCATTTGTCAATGCAAGAACTAGCAACATTCACACCATTTGAATTCTAAATGTTGCTTCTTCTGATTGAATGGCATCTAAGTCGCTGTTATCAAATTCTTCATAGTGCAAAGAACAAGACACAGAGGTGAAAATGTATTCCTAGTCAACCGTGGGTAGTTCTGTCCAATGAACGAATAAATTAATCTTGCTAAACCTTAATGTCATACATTTAAAGTACAATTCTATGAATAGCTCGAAAAGCAAGAGATTAAGAATTCAATTTCTCAAATACATGAAATATAACCAACAAATGAAAGAACATCTAGGTCAAATCATGGATACATCACTGGCATACCAACTGTTCTCATCAAAATAGGCCTAGAGGAAGTTGCATTTAACAAAGCCATCCTGCAGATAATAGCAAAACAAGAATGAGAAAATGACATATTTTCCATTAAAAAAGAATGGTGTTAACTAAGCAAGTATAATTCAGCTTTCACAAGAGAGAAGTTTTTTTCATAATAGAGGTTAAGAACATGAACCACTAGAATCTATAATGTCATACAACCATCATGCCCATTGCAAATAGAATGCTCAGTGTGCCATGTTTTAGAAGCACAGAAAAAAAAAAAACATACTTTGGAAATAGAAGATAAGGACATTTTTCCTTTTTCACTGTCACCCTTTTTCTGACTTTGCTTAGACCACCACAATCATGTAATCTAGACTGATATTTAATCATAAAAAAGCGAGATAACTTATAATTTCTTCATTTTTTTTCCATATTGACAAGATTGCCGAAATTCATAGTGATTCTAAATTATGAATATGAGGAATAACAAAAACAAAGTGATACAAATGACCAGGAACATGATAGGTAATACTTGTAGAAATCACAATAAACTTAGATGAATTTGAATTTCTGCTAGGTGCGAAATCAAAAATAAGAACGAAGGGGAAACACAAGCGAGAAACGATTATATTGATAGTAGATGGAAGAAAACACACAAGATTCAATGGATCTTCAATTGGAGAGGAGGATCCAGCTCTCCCAATCTCTAGCCAAAACACCCTAAGAATACTCTCAAATTCAACAAACAAGACCTAACCCTAACCCTAGGAAAAATACCCTACTTACTCTTTTTTTTCATCACTTTCCTAACTCAAGAAGTTTTGGGAATTTTGTCCGTCGGCATGTTTGTTGTCTTTAGTTTGCAGAACATGATATTTCTAGCATTGTTTCATATATATAGTAAGGTTTTCAAGCATAGATAAGCATTAAATAGTCCGATTTGCATCATATTAGGACAGCAATTTTTAAAAGGAGCCAGGCAGTTCCATCTTTCAGCAACAGGAGCATTGCAGATATATATATATGAACAACTAGCCTACCGTTCGAAGACTTCTTTTTTCTAATTAAAATAACTTGCAATAAACAAGTTTCTCTTTATATTTTTTTTTTTTTTCCTTTACAAATGGCTACTTAAATTTATATTTTAGGCAGCTCACCCATTGATTGGGCAAGTTAGCCCTTCATTTTTAATTTCACCCAACATCTTATTTAAAGAGCACCGGCGTCATCTCTTTGAATTGCCGACAACAAGCAGCTGCCCATTTACTCTTTAGTTTTTTTTTTTCTTTTTTTTCTTTTTCTTTTTTTTTCTTGTAAGGTAATGTGCTATTCAGTTTTATGATAGACCGGTCCAAATAGGACCGGTTCTCTATTATCAGAGATAGAACAAGCAGGTTCCGCCCCCCATGCTTGCCGCCTCATCTATGTGGGGTCCACTAGCTTAATTAAAAGAAAATTAAGGGGGTTTTAGGAGAGAAAATTCAAATAGAATGGACTTTTTTGGGATTTACCTAAAGATTGTATGCTTAAGTATGTTTTGGGGATTAGGGTTAGGTTTTCATGTGGTTTTTTCTACAGTTAGTTATTTTCCTGGTTTCTTGTGTGGGCTCTAGCAGCGTCAAGAGAATTGGAAAAGCCGGATCTTCCTCTCCAATTGAAGATCCAACTCTATCTTGTTATTTTCTTTCTTCAATTAAAGTTTTGGTGTGTTTCTCTTTCTCAAATCATTGTGTCGTTCATTGGTTTTTGCTGAGATTGCATCTAATAACTAACTTTTTTTTATCTAATAACTAACATATTAATTTCTAGTTAAGTAATAGATATAAGATATCATGTAAAATAATGTTTTAATGTTAACTTATTAATAGTTTGATTAATCATCTAGGTACATCTTTTTTATTAGATATTACTAATAATGGATATGCTTGTTGTGATGGTGAATGAAGTTATTGGCCTGTTTATTTGAGTGCATCATTTTTTGAGTTCTGATTGGATTATTTTGAATCATCTAATATATCACTACTTCATGTAAAGAAATACGAGATCTCACAATATTATTAGCAGATAAAACACACTTATTTATGCAATACTACGGATTAAGATACAATCATCCAAGCTTGAAATGTCTCTTCACATATATACTAGTGATGACACTACCAGTAGATACGAAATATTAGACAGTGATTCAAGCATATATTCCAGTAGCAAAAAAGAAGCTTATAAAAGAAATACGTAGATGTAAGGAATAATATTATAATGATAGTCTTAAGATAATTTCTCATCGTACTTTTAACAATATTAAAACAATTGATGCAAAGTTGGCAAATAATATTTTCACACATACAAACAGATGAGCTCAAGAATGGGGTGTAGATTAAGCGTGTGATCCTCTAAATGAAAAAGTTATTCTTGCCACTTTTGAAGTTGGCATGATATTTGCAACTAAAGATAACCTTCAATGCACATTAATAAATCGGTTCATCATCAAGAATGTCAAATATCAAAAGAATATATCAAATAAGTGAAGATTAACTATTTAGTGTATCATGCAAGTTGACACTTGAAATCTATGTCGGTGGCATTTGCATGCTCCGAAAAGTCAACAATTTGGTAATGCTTCAAGAATATCTAGTATAGGCAAACTTCACAATCGCACTCACTTATTTTAAATTTGAATGACCATAATTACAGATCTAAATTTATATGTCAACACATTACAGCCACATATCAATCACATCTAAATCTTAAACCCAAGAAAATTATAGGATTGATGGAGGCTAAATTTAACATTAAAAACTGTTACAATAAAGCATAGGATGCAAGACAAAAGGCAATCAAGTCTATTTTTCGCAGTTGGAAAGAGTTATAACATTCCATTTATATATTTATGGAGGTTCTGTGTTGCACTCTACCTAGCAATGTGTATGAAATTTAAAAAATTATCAAAAATCATTTTCATTGTACGTTTTGAGTTTTAGGTCATTTATAACTGGTTGGGCATTATGCTGACTTGTACTTAATCTAGAGAGTACATTTCTACAAGGAAATATATAGCAAAACATTGTTATCTAATGTTGGCATTGGTTCAAATAATGCTCTATTCATCTTAATATTTATTATCGTTCAGAACAAAAGCAATGACTCACGGATCTAATTTCTTAGACAATTGTGAAGAGATTTGTGCATAAATTTTATAGACATTCCGGCTTTGTTCGCAAGTGCGATGAAACATCTCCATGGACAGCTCATCGAAATGTTTATACCATCCATGAGAAAATTTCATAAAATTTCAAGGAAATCTTACAGACCACTGTGGTACAAGTTTCAAAAAAAAATCCAAAAAATGTTAGGATTACTTGAAATTTTCTCATAAATGGAGTAAACAATAAAGATGTCTAGCCCATGAAAATATTTCGCAGCACCAACAAACCAAGACAGAATATCTATTAAAAATTATGCAACAGTTCTTTTGCAACTGAACAGGAGTTATCAAATCATTTAGTGCTCTGAGAAATCATATCCATTAGTCATTAGTTTTTTCTCAACAATGATAAATAATAAGGGGAAGAGATATTAACATCAATAGTGGAGAATAATGTTCCCCTGTAGGTATGCCCCATCCAAACTAAGTACGAACAGACAAAATATCCAACCAATTACATTATCCAAAATCCCAAAACAGACAATGAAAATGATGATTGCCCATAATTTAAATTTATACACATCGCCATGTAAAGCAATGCATGACCTTCATAAATGTATAAATAAAAATATATGAATCCACCAAGCTGTAAGAAAATGAATTTGATTTCCTTCTATCAAGCATCTCATGCTTTAATGTAGGATTTTTAATATTAAATTTAACATATATCCGTCCTATAATAAATATTGAAGTATTTATTTATGATCTTCCATTTTGATTTTGCTTAGCATACAGTATTATTTATAAATTATTCACCCTTAATATTTAGTATAGGTTAACTTTAACTCTAATTTTGTATTTATTATAACTTATTAAATAATAAAATGGAGCATCATAACCAATGTAATCTCACATATACTAGCACAACCTAAATTACTCTGACATTTAACTTTAGTGTTAACTTTAACTATTATTTTCGGCCATCGGATCAAATTGAAATAATTTTCAATAGTTGAGGGACTAAATTGGGGCAATGCGAAACCTACTAATAGTCAGGGAACTATTTTGAAGTATTGGTTTAATCAAATAATTAAATTAATTGAACTAAAATTTGGTTTGATGTTATTGTTCTCTTAACTAATGCATAGTGCTTTCCCCTCCCATACTAAAACAAGCATGCAACCGCAAATTTGGATTTGGGTGGCAATGATGGTTTTAAAGGATGATATATATATATATAAACAACGTTGGATTGAGGTTGGTGAGACTTAGAGCTTCATGAGTAATCAATTTGATGAAAAGGGGTGTTTTTAAAAGTTATTTTTTATTAAAATTTTGAGTTGATAGCTGAAAGTTTTTTTTTTTTTTTTGTAATATGAGAAAATTGGTGATTTCTTAAATTGTCTATAAGAGATTGAGGTTCTATGGTGATTGATGCGCATAAACCTGTGCTGGAGTCAAACAACCAATTGTTGTGAGATACTCAACCATTAACAACAACAACATCAAGCCTTGATCCCACTACGTGAGGTCGGCTAAATGAATCCTTTTCTCCTTTGTGCCCTACTAGGATTAAATTTTCATTTAAATCTAATAAAGAAAGATAATTTATAATATTTTATAACCAAGCCTTTTCAGGTCTACATCTACCTTTCTTAACATAAGCCAAACCTAATACATCTACTTTCCTAACTAGTTCATCGAGAGGCCGTTGTTTTATGTGACCAAATCATCTAAGGTAACTCTCTCTAATCTTATCTTCCACTGGAACTACTCCAACCTTTTCACGTATATGCGCATTTCGTATCCCGTCTCTAAGAGTAAAACCACTCATCCAACTGAGCATCCTTATCTTTGAAATACTTAATATTATGCTTCTCTTTTAATGGCCAACATTCTGCGCCATAAAGCATT